ATGAAAACACTCTGTGACTAGGTTAGATGCCTTGAACGTGAAGAAAGGGGTAGTTATTCAGATCGTACCCACAGAAGTTTTGGTTATCCTTTTTAAGGGCTTTGTGATCTAGTATTAGAACAATGTGTTTCTTGGTCTACTTCAGTTGCCATGAGTTGCCCAGTGCCGAGTCTGGTCCACCTCCATCCATTTATTTTCATGGAGTTAGTCCTACACCAACTTGTAACAGCAAAGCAGAAAACTACTTGGTTACTTACTGGTAACCTTTCTTGCAGAATTGTTGTGTCTCGCACGCGATACAAAAAGGGACATGAGATTTTTCCTGGGTTAAGTAGCACTTGCTTTGTTTAAGTGTTCAGTATAACGTTGGGTGACTAAAGGCAGGTTCCCTTTTTAAAGTATTTGAATTGTGCTTTGGGGACTTCGTTGCCACTGTGCAAATTGTGCTGTAATATTGTACCAAGGATCAGTGAAAGTGTTTTATCTTTTTTAATGTTGTTTGTATTTGACCGGGTTTTATAAGTGTAAGAAAACAGAGTGTTGTATTTTGATCTGAAATTTGCGTATGGTAAAGTAACTTTGCTTTATGTATTGGAGGTTTGTTCAGAACTTGAATTATTTTATAGAAGGGTACAGACCAAAATTAATTGTCTTAAAGGTGTTTAATAAACTAACCAAATAAACAACTGATGGTTTGAAAACTTGTTAACTGCTTCTTATGACTTTCTGTTTTAAAAAGGAGGAAGAACATAGCTCAGACTTTCTCTCAAGGTCTTATTAAGAATGAAAAAATGTAGTAGGTTTTATAAACACCATATCCCATGGGTTTTCTGTTTTATTATTAAACATACCTACATGCCAGAAGTTTAATCAAAGGGGAAAACCCAAAGGAAATAAATAAAGGAGGAAAGGCTAGGGAAATAAAGGGAGGCGGGAGCAGTCCGCTCCGGCTCTGTCCGGCAGCAAAGGCTCGCCGGGTGGCACTTCGGGAGAGACGGGGTGGGCAGAAGCTCCTGTTCACCTGTGAAAGCTCGAGGGGGGCTGCTGAGAACTGCAAATGGTTGCTTCAAGGTCTGCGTTCTCCCCTGCCGTCGCATCGGATGGTCGTCTTCACAAATACTGCTGCTTTCATGTGACCTTTAAAAATCAGAGGGGGGAAAAAAGTTTCTCTAAGCATAGCTGCTCCCAAGGGCAGGTACAAATAGCTCTTTCCAGGGCTGCCAGCTCTTTGGCAGCCCTCAATTGCACTGTGGTGTGCGTACGTAACTCCTTCGAGTTCAAAGATCTGGGCTTTTTTAAGATGGCAAGTAGCTGCAACTCACATTAGGCAATGTGCTTCCTTGGTGCTGTGCTTGTCCCGTTACTGGTTTATCTGTCGCTGCTGCTATTGGTGCCACCACTGATGGAGAAGAGGCAGAGTAAGGGTTGTGGCTGCTAGTGGGAGTGACGCGAGGGCTGGTGTCTACAGCCAGGAGCACGACCACAGCGGTAAACTCGGCCACTGCTGTAGTCCAGTGCATTTGATCTTCAGGAAAGTGCATGATTTCACCAAGAACTGTCTGCTTTCCTCTAAGTAAGAGGACATTGAGGCAAGGCCAAACATGAGACCGAGAAAAGCAAAGGTTTTAGGGTAGCTTTGGTGAGGAGGGTGAAGTGGGAAGGCAGTCCCACAGCTTCAAAACGGAGCCCAAAACCGGGTGTGTAAACTCGATACACATGTTTTAAAGCAGATGTTGGGAGGAGGAAGGGATTGTGGATATTTGCTCAGTAAAAAGCTTGTATTGATTAGTTCAAAAGCCGTACTGAAGCGAAGCACGGGTCCTGAACTGCTGGCCAATTTGGTGCAGGGAGCCTGAGGCCTCCGGCATAAACAGGGACTTGATGATAGGGAATCCAGTGTTGATATACCTCTGTTGCTGGTGTTCCTATGGTTATTGCTGCGCAGATGGGCTCTGCCGTATCTCTCTGTCTTGCTGAGTGTTGGGAACAAAGAGGGGAGGTTGCGCTTGGATTTATCTTTATTCCACAGCCTGGAATTCTAACAGAAAGGGAAAAGGGCTGCTGCTTGGTTTCCTTCACCTTTTGTGTGCGGAGGAGATATAACTTGAAGTTTCTCTTTCTTCCCCTTTTCCTCCTTAAATTTTTTTTCTAAACTATCACAGAATAAATTCCAGAAACGGTTCCTTAAACAAACAGAACTCCCAGCTGAGTCTCTCGATGCATTTTACAAAGGAGCGAGGAATCCCCGTGCCGCCTTGCTTGCAAGATGTTTACCAAGGTTACATACCGAATCTCTGCAGCAGGACTTGTGACTCTTGTGATAACTGTGGCACAAGAAATCATGGTGCCAGTTGCCCACTGTTGGCCAGGAGCAGCTGGCAGAAAGGACTTCTGCTCCAGCCTGAGCAAACAGTATCTCCCCAGCTTTCTCCTGGCAGGAACATGCAAAACAAGATGACATGGCTGGTGAAGGTTTGCTGCAGGTCTGAGCTGGTGTGAAGGTTTCTGGATGTGCGGAGCAGCCCCCGCTTTGCCAAGGCAGGCTCTTCCCAGGGCCCGATCCTCGTTGGCCAGAGGTGGTATTGTGTCTTTCACAGACCCCTGGTGTCAGGACAGGCTTTCACTGGGCTGTTTTCTTCCAGGTGAAGAAGGGAAAGAAGGTGATGTGGAAAAGCAGAGAATCCAGGCAGCAGCCACAGCCTTTGGCTGAGCAGGTAATTGGTCCTGGCCCCCGAATCCAGTGATGATTTCCCTCTTTCCACTGCAGTGCTAATTCAGCCCTTTGGCAAAGCGATAACTGGAAGCAGAGGAATTAACTGAAGCAATGTAGCTGCAGAATTCAGTACAATCCTTTGCTTTTCATTTGGAAGCTGCTATAAAGACGCAGTGAAAACTAATGCAGAGCCCATGGGGTCCTGGGAAAGGAGCAAGTAACTTGAAACGAGTGTTGTTGCCATTGAACAGATATCGGCTGCTGTTCTCGGTGAAGCCAATGGCAACAGGATCAGCGCTATTATTTTTTGCTTTTTCTCCAGTGTATGTGGACTCGCGCAGGTCTCTGTCACATGTGGCCTCTGAGGAATCGTGAACCCCAACACCGTGGGCTGGGCTGAAGGAGTTGGCTAATGGAGAGTTTACGGTAAGAGCAAATGTATTTTTAACCACCAGGATATGCTTATCGTCAGGAAAGGGCAAGCAGTACTCCTATCTCTCCAGGGAAGGGGAAGTGTTGAGCGTGACTTTAGTTTTTTTTCTAACTTCTTTCCAAACTCTGAAAGGGTTTTTCTTGCTGAGACATGTTGTCAGATTAAACCAGGGAGTTAAATAGACATCAATCCTGCGTCACAGGTGAAAAATATTAAATGCCAGACATGCAGGGTTTTTCCATTGCATACAATGTGTGTTTACCCCTTTTTGTGTTCAGGAATAACCTTTGGAAAGAGCACTTTGAAACTCATCCATGTTTTGCTTTTTCTTAATATATTAAGAGTCTATCCAGAAGCTTTTAATTTTTCAGGGCAACTTTGATGTCCTCTGTCTTGAAGAGGAAAGCACGTTCCCCTCTCAGTCCTCCACCCCCCCCGACCGCCTCTGGAACAAGCAGTACATCAGGTGGCTGCAATATTTGACTGCTTTTTGACTTGGTTGCTTTGACCAGAAGCAGAAAGGGGCTGGATACGTCCGCCCTCGGTGGCTGCAGTGCCGGCGCTCGCTCGGGAGGTGGATGCCCGCCAAGGCAGCGCCTCAAGTGGTTGCTCCTGGCTCCCTTCCTCCCCGCAGGCTGCGACGCCGGCTCGGCCTTGGCCTTGCCGGCGGTGGGGTCTGGTGCTCTCGACAGCCTGGGCTGCTGCTGTCACCTTCCTTAATGCTGCCCCAGAGGTAGAAACCTGGCTCTTTAAGTGACACGCAGTGTTGATTTACTTGCAAAACAGACAATAATCCCTTTCAGGGCACCTAAGCAGAAAGGTTTTTGCTGATTCTATAAATACCCGCTTGCCTATTTTAGTAAGTGGTAGGAGTCACAAAGAAAAGAAATACTTTGAAATGCTAAAAGCTGCCTGACCGAAGAGACGGGCTCGGGGCGTTAACGATGCCTGCTCGTGCTGTTCCCAGGTGCAGGGAGTGCTGCCCACCTCCTCCACGCAGGGGAAACCTGTCTCACCCGTCCGCCAGCAGCCCCGCAGC